GAGAAAGAGAGAATTCTGGTTCGAACTGAAAGAGTCAACTTGACTTCTCCCAGTCGGCCAGTAAGTATTTATATTATTATTAAAACATAACTGAAAAGACCTATGTGCCCTTACTTAAGTTAAGAGCACATGTTTCAACACAACATTACAGATCAGCAACATCAATCAAGGTATAAAGACAGAAATACCCCTACGCTAGCACTTGCGAAGTAATATTCATTTCCACAAATATCCATTGTAAGAGGACAATTCATTACATTTCCCCTGGTGGGGGGTGGGGGTGGTGCTAGACTGCTGGTATTAGATTTAGTGATGGGGAAATGAAAAGGTGGTTTATGAATCCTAAGATGGAGTCCCACCAGTAATTTTGAGTAAAACATGATAGGGCATAAAAGGCATAAACCTGGGAGTAAACAACATGCCTAACAAAAATTTCTATTCACTATACCTAAAATTTCAATCTATAATAAATTTCACCAGAGTTTAAGAAGTTTACTATAATTTCAGTGTGTTTCAGCTGAAATTAGTTTTAGTTAAAAAGTATTTTTTTTTTCAGAAATCTTAAATCCATACTTTGAGTTGAATACTGGAAGGATTGATAATTTCCATTGGACAGTAAATCACCAGAGAAACTATTATTAATAATATAAATGATAGAGGATACTAGTCTTTTATTTAACTTATGAAGGCATTTAGTTCTTTTTGACATTTAACTTTCAGGTCACAAGTAAATGGTGAACCTGATGCTATCTTTAAATTTGAGTCAAGAATCAATTGACTAATACCTTTATTGGCCCAAGCTTCTTTATGGGTACATGATCGATCTAAGATGTTAGAGGGCCATAGTATGAAGGCATCACCTAAGTGAGAAAAGCACCCTTGCCTGAATGTCAAACAACCTAGTTAACAATAGTTGCAAGGCGGATGCCTTGATATAATTTTATTACTATGGTTGCATCTTATTACTATGTTTGTACTGTGTAATACATCATATCACATAATATTGTATTATTTATGTTTTATTTAAGGGTTTTAATATTAAAGCCCTAGGGGCCTTGGCAACAATTAAGAGGACTTCTGGTTGTTCTGGCATGTTGGCATCATTGATAAAGATTCTGTTTATTGTTATATTTGAACACACTTCTTTCAAAGCTTATGATAATTTAGTTATGTTAAATTTCCAGCTGACTTCGTTACTTGGTGAGGTTGGGCTGAACATCCAAGAAGCACATGCTTTTTCTACAGTAGATGGCTATTCCTTAGATGTCTTCGTTGTCGATGGTTGGGCACTTGAGGTATTTCCATCTTAAAAGTAAAAATTTGTGGAAGAAGAAACATTTTATTGATGTTCCTTCCCCTGTTTAGTTATCAAAGTTATTTGTGTTCTTGATTAAAAGTATCAGCATGTTTTGTTGTATGGCATTAGATAAATATCCTTGCAACTATTCTACTATTTCTGCATACTCTGTTTAGATTTTTTGCATGGACCTTTGTGATATGTAGAGTGGGAGTGGGGCCTGGTTGACATTAGTCCAATTTGGGTCCCATGTTGATGACATTTGTTCTGATAATAGCATTTCCTTGATTTGTCTTTAGTGGTGGCAACTGGTTCATTTCCAGATGGATTGGCTAGGTTGTTCAATGAATTATTGATTCTTAGTGCCTAACGTGTAACGTCCAACTTAAAAATATAGTTAGTAAAAACACATATGACATAATTATGAAATGGGAAAATTTTATTAAAGTCTGGTTTCAAGATTGAGAGTTACGATAAAAAGTTTGGTCAAATGTATGTGGTATGGTGAAATGATTGGTTAAGATTGAATGAGTGTTTATTTATGAATAAAATCATTATCTTGATATTATAAGAATGTTTTAAAACAATGCATTCTGGTATTTTTATCCTTTTTTTGAAATTCATTTTATTCACATATCAAATATCTTGTATGTAAATTTCTTGTGTTTTTCCACATATTTGAATAATTTGTTGTCTAATATGTTTTAGTCAAAAGTTCAAAAATATGTCTGGCTGAGGCAAGAGACTCATTGGGAAATATAAACACAAGTCGCAAACTTGCTGTGGATACCGAGGGAGTTGAATCATATTGCAGATGGTTTAGCTAAAATAGGAGCAAGACTAGAAAATCTGTACAGCAATAGGCTTCCCCCATTTGATCACTTAAAATCCTGCAAAGGCTTTATCAGGAATTGTCCCCCTTTCTATGCACCTACTTTTTTTTTTGAAATAAGTATATACATGTATATATTTCTCTTTTCCTTGTAGTAAACTCATACTATATTAATTGTACAATGGTTTTCTTAGGAGTTAGCTATTCATTTTCAAATATGTCCATAGATTTAACTATTGTTGAGATTTTTCTTTTAATTATAGAGAAAAAACTCTTGTTTTTAAGTGATATTCATCCATACTGCCCCTTAGAAGTTTAGGAATTTATTCTTATTGTGTAACTTTTCCTTCATCTAAAAATAGCTGATCTCTAGACAAACTATATAATACATAAGTTTCTATGTACTCCAGAAACCCTAGGATTTCTCTTTGCAATTGGTGAACTGTGAACCCATTTTTTAAGGGTCGAGAATATTTATTTTCAGGAGATGCGGGAACCTATGATGTATACATATTGTGTTGTCCATCGCAATCTCAGGGATGTAGCCATATGCTTATAACTCATTCATTTTAAATCAATTAAATCAAGTAGTTACTAATAAAAAGTGTGGGTGTTTTCAGAAGGTTGAGTTTCTACAGGGTTTGAGGTTCCCTAAACTTCACAAACTTAGTAGTGGAACTGAATTCGTAAGTGTTAGTGAGCTGGTTTCAGAATAATACTATGGGTATATGAAAATATAGATACATAATGAGGGAGGTCATATTGTTCACAGGAAAATTAGGAGAACTCTGTTCCACTGGATTTAGAGATAAACCAACAACATAGCTCTTGCACTAGCAAGACAAGGGGTGAATAGAAATCAGTTGTTTTAGGGGCTGTGTTGTAATAACCAAATAAAAAAAATTAAAAATAGGGTTAGGTAGCTATGACTAACCTATCGAAAAGCTACTAACTGCATTCCTGCTTCAAAATGCTGTAAAACCATTCTTTCTAACAAATCAATAGAAGTATCTGAAGTTAATCTAACGAAAGTTACCATATATATAATTACTATTATTGTTATTATTTATTTCTTTTTTTGTAACTTTTCACATTTGTCACCTTAATCCTGAATTTGTCATTATTCAGCCCCAGACGTGGTATTTGTTATCAAATGAAATTCATTTTTTGAGAGAGCTGTTGTCTTATTTTTTGTTAATATTTTATATTTATTGTAACTTCTTTATCTACTCGATTATATTTACCCCTTCCTCCTGTGTAGTTTTACTTAGGACATGATAGGTCAGTGGTTTGGCTTTCAATTGAACCACTGAAAGCCTGATGCCATTTCCTTTTTCCTGAACCAATGGAAATTTTGGTTGTGCAGTTGTTTGAAATGTTTGTATATTTGAATATTCTGTGTCTGAATACGAATACCACCACCCAATAGGAATTTTTTCTTCCTCTTAGTTCACTGTACACTCTTTGATTTCTAACTTTTATGTTGGAAATTGTTAGGAAACAGAGCGGCTTAGACGTGAAATTGAGAAGGAAATCTTAAAGTTCGAGGTAATCTCTCTCCATCTCTCCCCTGTTACATGTCATTTTTGTTTGCATTCACATATTTGGGTGAGTAGCAGTATCATACATCATATTTATTGCATATCTTTGGCAAAAGGTATTTGTCTCATTCATTAAATCTTTATCCTATTGATACAGTTGAGCTTTTATCAATGATCAAGACAGTTGGCCAAGCTAAACTGTGCATCTTGTAAGAGATGTAGCAAGAACTATATAATCTATGTCACCCTTTATTTTTGGGGTTTGAGGTTGATCAAGGGCCATTTATATTTGAATGGGTATGAAACAGACATGCACTCAAGCACTATACTTGTGAAGTTTGATCATTGATGGTCCCTTTCTAGATGATGATCTGAACCTGCCGGTCAGCCCTCCACCTGGCTGAAAACCCTGTGCTGTGCATTCTACATAACCCTCACCAACTGATTGAAAAAAATCAGTGTTGAATATATTAATTATAGAAATCCTTTTAGTTTTTCATTTATCCTTGTTCATTTAGCATTTAATGTCTATTTTGGATATGTGGCTCAAGTAGTTGCTTTGATACTTTTAATCTTTTAGATGTGGTGCTTGACTTGTGCTTGTACAAAGGTTGACAAGTGATCTGCATTAAGTTTCCTTGGGCATGTGCATAAGCATAAGCTCCTATGTTACATTAAATTCAAAGTAAGGAGCAATTTGTTGAAATTTGCCAACTAGCTAGACATTCATTTAGGCTCCAGAATAAATCAGGAGTGAAGGATCGTTTTGCAGATCTAATTAATATCTTTCATGATGATTAAACTAATGTCTTGGATGATCTTTTTGTTGTTCCTGAATCAACACCTTTTTCTAAACCTTGATTATTTTTTTGATCAATAACAAAGGATTTCATTAATTAATAAAAAGTGTACAGAGGGAGGAGATAACCTCTCTTATCTTCCCCAAACAAGAAAAAACAAAAAATTACATTTGAGCCCAAGACAAGTTCTCCCTATTCACCCCTTGCTTTGCTAGCCCATCAGCAAGGGAGTTAGCACATCTCTTAACCCAAACTTTTGCCAGCCATTGGGATTTCTTCCTCTCATTGCTGTACATCCATAAACCAATTTTATCTCCTTTAAGCCATTCTACCACCAGTTTGGAGTCTCCTTTGACGATCAACTTCCTCAATTTTAAGTCCTTGGCTCTCTGAACACCTTCTATAGCCGCCAAAGTCTCAGCTCTAAGAGAATTACCCTCTTCAATTGGGCCTGAGAACAAGGCAATTATAATTCCATTCTCATCCCTTAAAACACCCCTAATACCCGAAGGCCCTAGGTTGCCAATACTACACCCATCAAAATTCATTTTGCCTTGATTGTTCAGATTATTCAGAACCTTGATTATTCAGATTCTACGAATACCATTTTGCCTTGACAGACATGTAACCTACTTAGCTATCTTCACAAGGCCATAGCCCCATTGGAATATGGTTGATGTCCTGTAGAAGGTTGTTTTCAATGTATACATAGTGAAGTTATAATCCCCATGATATAGGTAATCAATTCCACCTAATATTGTTTGTGTGCTGTCTAGAAGTATGGTGAGTGTTTAAAGTAAAACCACATCATTATATGGGGACGCTGGAAAGGTTAGAACTTACTTTGTGTTTACTGCTATTGCATGTGTGTTTGGATGAAGCAACTATTGGATTTCAACATGGCATGTGTGTTTGTATTCATTTCACTGTCACAAGTGGTCTGGGTGTTTGTAAACGATTATTTGAGGTACAATGCAGAAAAAATTTCAGTCAAAGCTTCAGTCATCATCTTCTGCCATCAAGCGTGGGCAGACTGGGCCTAAGCTCATTCCTGATCATGTAAAAATACCCACCGATGGAACTGATGTCTGGGAAATCGATGCCAGCCTGTTGAAATTTGAGAACAAAGTTGCATCGGGGTCATATGGAGATCTGTAAGTTTTCATTCCTGTCTGTAAATTGTTTCCACCATGTAGGACCTGTAATTGGTTGTGTGTGACTGCTTTCTGAGTTGTACCTATTAACTATTTCAGGTATAAAGGTACCTACCGCAGCCAGGAAGTGGCTATTAAAGTTCTAAAGCCTGAACGTGTAAGCGAGGACTTGCAAAGAGAATTTGCACAAGAAGTCTTTATTATGAGGTTTGTTCAATTAATTCTTGTATAGGTTGGTACCACTAGTTAGCGTTTTTCATGAAAACATTGGATTCAATTTATCTTCAAGATTAAACAAAATTCAGCATCTTCTGTAACTGTCTCTTGTTACTATTTATTAGAATAGCTAGTTTTGTCATTGTGAAGAGATTACTTTGTTATTTATGTTGTTTAATTTTGGAACATTGGATCTATCTATGCAGGTTAACCTAGTCTTTCACTTCTTACAATTATGGGTTAGAGAAATATCCTGGTTAAAGTTAACTTTACCAAGTTGAAATAAAAGTGGTTTTATCAGTCAAACAAGTAAAGTTGCTAACTTAGGTATTTTTTCCACTGATGGTGGCCACTTTTGTAAGCATCTGTTGTTGGATTTTCTGGAAATAGTTATTCTGTTCCAATCATCCATTAGAGAATTATTTTTGTTCAGTTTATTTGAAAAAGAATGATATGACTTAAATACACTCGAATATTCTCTCCATCCTGCAGTAACCATCCACTCTGAGAAATCAGTTTTTCAAGTGAGACTGTAGTTAATCCTTTGCTATCTCTTTTGTTTAAATTTGTTTTCAAATCCTCTCCTTCCATCAGAGCAAGTGTGATGAAAACTCTCAAAAAGTATGGAAAAGATAAAGACTATAGTTTTTGGAAAGCAATACTTATAAAATTTATGGAAAGTGGTACTGTGGGAAAGTGAGAAAAAAACTATGCCTTGAATTTTACAATGGACATAGTTTATGGCTGTGTTTACTAAGAGTGCAAATGCTGAACTGAAGTGAATTTGCGCTCTGATTCAATTTTGCAGGAGTTTGGTAAGAATTCACTTTTTGTATTGAAAATAAAAGTAATTTTTTTTTCTATCGTTTTTGCATTCAAAATGCAGTCAATGTTTGCTTCCAAAAAATGGAAGCATACTTCTGTGTTCAAAGTGGTCAATGCAAAAAATGGTAGATTCTGATCTTGAAATTCGTATTTGTTAGGAGTGTAAATGGACTCGGATCATGATCTGGTTCAAATTCAAATCTGATCCTATTTTGTTGGATTCAGATAATCCCTGTCAGATTTTTGAATAATATTAGATCGAAACAATGCTTGCGTATTTTTTGTTTTTTCTTTTTATAGACTTATTTGCTTTTGTCCTGTTAATAATTTGTTAAATTTTAGACCTATGGGTAATTAAATTGAATTGAGTCAGATTTGGTTATCCAACATCCTTAGCGAATTTGAATTTGAATTGATCTTCGTAAGATCCGTCAGATCGGATCGGATATAGGATTTACATTATCAAATCGAATTCAGATACCCCTATCCAAATTTGATTCGATCCATTTGCACCCCAAGTATTTGTAGCCATCACAACAAAATACGTTTCACAAAAATTCAAGTTGATCAATGCAAAAGGAAACCAAGGAGAGCTATTGTTTTGACACTCTCACCAAACACAGCTAATGAGATAGGGAAAAACTCCAACAAGGAGAGCTATTGTTTTGACAGAAGGTGTATTTAAAATGATTCTCTTTAGGTACATACAGGAAGCTTTTATTGATAGACTGTAGAAATTTCATTAAATTTTTTTTTTGATAAATGGTAGAAATATTGATATCTTTTTTGGAAGGCAAAGTAAGAATTAATTGATAACCGAAATAGAGAATTACAAGACAGGGAATCCCGTCCATACAGTGGGAGACATTGAGGAATTTATTTCATCCATTAGAAGCCATATGATCTTCTCAGGAACTACTTTAAGCTATAGCTGGTTTCATCTATGATAATATGTGGCTGGAACTCTTTCTTTCTTGTATTTATATACATATAAATATAGATAATGGAAAATATAAATAAAAGGAAAATAGGAGGAGGGAGAAGATTACTTTGTCATTCTCTTTGGGGTTTGTTTTTCCACCTTGCCTGCTCCAAGCCTTTTCTTTATTTTGGCTTTTGCAGGAAAGTAAGGCACAAGAATGTTGTGCAGTTCATTGGAGCATGTACTCAACCTCCAACCTTGTGCATCGTTACAGGTAGTTTATCATATAACTTCATTTTCTTATTTTTTTTAATATTTTTAGAATCTGAGCTTGACATTCTTTATTATGATTTTATTTTTCTGTAGTTTTTAATTTCACTTTTTTTTGCCAGAGTTTATGTCTGGTGGAAGTGTATATGATTTTCTGCATAAACAAAAGGGCGTTTTTAAGCTCCCATCCTTGCTCAAAGTAGCGATTGACGTTTCCAAGGGAATGAATTACTTGCACCAAAATAACATAATTCACAGGGATCTCAAAGCTGCCAACCTTCTAATGGACGAAAATGAGGTAAGGATTTCCATTCAACCTCAACATTTCGACTCGTTTGGCCCTTTCATCATTTGACATTTGCGTATTATGTTGATGATCTCTATTTAAATAATAATAATTATTATTCTTGTAATTTTATTATTTTCAGAAACCATTAACTTATTATATCTCATTCTGTAAATTCTGTTTCAATGTTGTGCATTCTGCATCTTTTGTTCTTCTTGTCATATATATCATATCCTTTTACATTGCCACCTCCTTTCACTTTTCTTATTCATGTAATTACTAATTAGTAGTTGTTTTTGCATACCATCAATTGCTTTCTTTGTGTTGCAATTATTACAAATTCTTGATGATACACTGTTGTAAATTTGATAAAAGTTCTCATATCTACAACATAATTCACTCAATTAAATACCTTAGTGTGGGTAAGGCCCATTCAGGGTGTTCTTTAAATATTCCCCTTGCATCCTTGCCAAGGCCAGAGAAAAATTTTGATTCTAACTTGAAGAAGTTGATCAATAAAACAAACCAACATGTATATTGTCAACTATTACAGGATTCTTCCAATGGGAATTCTTGTTGTATTTCTCTTTGTAGAATTTATTTATGAAGGCTAGAAATACAAATAGAAGTTTTTGATACAAAGTCTCATTTCTTAACAAGTTTTTATGCATTGTAGGCCCTCTAAGGAACCGTAATAAGCTGGATTGAGAGATCGGGTTGTAGACAGTGTCTATCCTTATTTAGATCTTCAGATATTGCATTTGTAGGATATAGTAATCAATTCTATTTAGTAATTGGGCTCTAGGCAGAATCAATCCCCATTTGGATCCTTATATATTGTTTTTGTGGGGTGCAGTAGTAAGTTGAGCTTAAGAACAATGCTCTAGAAAGCTTGTTTTGCCGACATGCTTTCAATGATTCTGTTTCCAATAGAAAGCTATGATCATCCCACTGTGTATCTGCTGGTTACCTATTACCTGTGTCCAATGCTGAATTCCCAATGAAATGGTGACAAGTGTCCCAATTGTTTGAATATTTGAATCTCCAAAAACCCAAAATGCAATTTGAGGTGCAGTAATATGCATAGTTCAGTATTAATGTATGTCTTGGTACTATAAAAATTAACAAATGCATACAACATTTACTAAGGGGATATAATGCCTGCTTCATATGAGAAAAATGAGAAAACAAAGTAATAATGGAGAGGTTGCCAAAAATAACTAGAAAATAAAACTTATAAAAAAATAACTAGAAAATAAATATATTAAATGCTGTTTCAAAATGAAATTACAACTGCGTTTCAGAGAAATTCAATCTGAAATCATAGATTTATTGCAGGGAACCACAAGCTTTGATAAATATCTTTGAAGTGCAGAATGCTAATATCATCAGAGAGAGAGAGAGAGCACCCTACCTGTTCATCCCTGCTCCTGTGCATGGGACTTGAATGGGACGTGGATGGAGAGGGAGGGGAAGGGAATAGAAAGGAAGAAAGAGATGCCTCAAATGGGGTTTTGGCTTTTGGAGTACCCTTTCTTTGCCTTACCTTTTTTTTTCTTTTTTTTTCCTTTCTTTTTTGTTTCTTTTTATTTGTCTCTGTATGATGTGTGCATGAGGCACACGACATGTGCACCTCTTGCACCTGAGGCATATGCCTCAGAGGTATTAACTCCTATGGCATATTCCTCAGGGCGTTTTGGGGGCACCTTGCCTGGAGGTGTGCCAGGTGTGCCTCCAGGGACATGCCTCCCACGCTTTTTAAAACACTGATCCCCATATAGATGTCCCAGGTTGATTATTCTCAGCATAAACCTAGAATTTATATTTTCCTAGGCCCCTAGGCTTAAAGGAACTACATTCTTATATTGTTCTTGAAAACAATCCTGAGGTAGCCTTTGAGATTTGTTAAATTTAAACCCCTTAAAAGTTATTCATTTGGTTGGCAGTTAGCGTTGCCTGTGTTCAAAGTACCTTCTAATTCAGAAAAGGGATAAAAGTGCCAAGATTGAGCTCATACCATTTTTGCTGCTGCATCTTTTTGTTTAGTAGATTAATCAGAGGGATGTGGTTTCATCTTGCTCTAGTATATTGAACTCCTATCATCCTGCAAATGCCTATATGATATACAAATTCATGTCATTAACATCTTATTTCATGTGTTAATGTCAAAATTGTTTATGTTGTATACGTGTAGTTCTGTAGCATTCTTTAGAGGGGTTCTGTGGTTCCAGTGCTTGCCTGTTTAAAATAATTAAATTTTTGCTCCAGGTTGTTAAGGTTGCTGATTTTGGAGTTGCCAGAGTGCAAGCTCAGTCTGGTGTCATGACCGCAGAAACTGGAACATATCGTTGGATGGCTCCAGAGGTAGGCATTTTGTAGGGAGTTAAAAATTAGAGAACAATTTCCACTCCAACTGTAGTGGAGTTATACATGTCAGACTGACTACCTTTTAAATATAACATTGATTTCTCCTTCCTAGGATTCACTTATCACTGTATCTATTTTTCTTATTGAAGGTAATAGAGCACAAGCCATATGACCACAAGGCTGATGTTTTCAGTTTTGGAATTGTGCTATGGGAGCTATTAACAGGAAAGGTAGTCACAAGTAATTTATTTTTACAACTGAAGTGGGTTCTTTGGTTTAACTTCTCTTTTTCTTTTCTTTTCTTTTTTTTTTTTTGGGGGGGGGGGTTATTCCATTTAATTTTGTTTCATAATGATGGAATAAACCTATCAACACTAATTTGCTATTATATTGATTTTCAGCTTCCATACGAGTATTTAACACCATTACAAGCTGCAGTTGGTGTGGTCCAAAAGGTATTCATCACTTCTAAACTTTTATTACAACCAAACTATTCCTACCATACCTATGTGATGCTACCATGGAAAAGCAACTAGGGAAGTCATTTCAGTGGAATTGCTGCCAAAGAAGTCTACAAGCTCAATTCCACATGTATTTCACCACCATTTATGGTATATATGATTGATTTTTTAATGAGTAAATATCAATATTTTTCAATCTACCCACTGTAATTTGTCTTATCACAGAGTGGGTGCTTATTTGTTACCATAATAGAGAGTTTAGACAACCCATTGAGGATATTATCCCACAGCAAAACAATAACATTGCCATTCCAAGTAGAAAGTAGAAACTACTTTGAATCTTCATTATGGGTGTGAGGTCATTAATTTCTTTGAGCAAAACTAATGTGAATATCTTTAAGAATAATTCCATTTAATATAAAACATATGTTAACATTATTGTGGACATTGGGTAGTATTAATCAGATATATTAAATATTTCAACTTGCATATTAAATAACAAATAATTACTTGCTTTAATGTGCTGACAGGGCTTACGACCAACTATCCCAAAGAACACTCATCCAAAGCTTGCTGATCTGCTTGAGAGATGCTGGCAGCAAGACCCAACATTAAGACCCGACTTCTCTGAAATTATAGAGATCTTGCAGCATTTAACCAAGGAGGTTAGCAACATAACATATTGGCTCTCGTGGATATTTATATTATAATGGAATTGAGCTGATCGCAAACTCTTGGAACAGGTAGGTGATGATGGTGAGGACCGGCGCAAGGACAAATCGTCCAGTGGGTTCCTATCGGTCCTCAGACGGGGGCACCACTGAAGGTAGAGTGGAGAGAGGTTGCTGTTCATAATGTATATCTACTGCTCTAATCATGTAGGCCATTCCCCATCTAGCTCTATCCTGCACTGTACAGTATTTAATCAGATTACCAACAAAATTCTTGCTTTTTTGTTTTTGAGTTCCCCCTTAGATTTCTATTATTTTTGTTTTTCTCCGCCTCTTTTCACTTCCCGCAATATTTATGGTTTTATGGATGTGCACGGTAATTTTAGTGCAGAATTGATGAAATCAATGAATCATAATTATCATGTTTTGCTTTTTGGGTAGAAACCTAGTTGTTGTCGTGGAATTTTATTGAATGGATAAACCATTTTCCAACATGAAACTAATTACTGTCATCTACAATTGTTGGGGCCTTTGGAGATCAAAAGGAAAATAATCTCTCAATGGTCTGGTGACTTGGTTGTTGTCCGACAAAATAAATCTGTTGTGAGTGTTGAAATAAGAGAGCGTTAAGGTTCACTGGTGGTTTTTTTTCCAACTTTGATGTTTTATTGCATGCACCTCAACTTATGGAAAGGCAAGAGGCAAAGGTGGAAATGTAGGACAAGGCTCTAGGCTTCAGGGTATTGTTGCTGGTTATACATACCTTCTGCCTGCCTTGCGCCCAGCCCCAGCTTGCCCTTAGGTTATGGTAGATATTCACTTGATTCACATTTAAGTTGACACATATTACTTACAATTCAAAGGGAAAATAACTTAGAAGAGATTAGGGATCAGAGAAATAGAGCAAATAGAATCAGTAATAAACGGTTGCCAAATTGATTGATTTATTGCCGTCTTATGAATACTTGAATATCAATCATTTCATCTTGGTCCTTCCAGATTGTGAGAAAATCAGTATGGTTAGAAATGAATACCCCACCTAATGGTGGCTCAGGTTTTCTGATCAAATATTGCTGTCAGAGGGTTGGAGGGTGGGGGCTCGAGGGAATTGGGAATGGGCATGAAGCGCAAAAAAAATAAGAAAGCTTGGAAATGGATGCACATTGCAATGCGTTTTGGATACAAACATCGTATTAAGAATCGGTTCATCGATGTATATCAGCCAATGCGTTATTCTATTCCAGTATTGGTACATATGAACTGATATGGAGACATAACCTGAATGTGGAGAGTCGGAATCTGTTGATTATCGTTCGTTCATGCTTGGAAGAACAGCCTTTTAAAAGCTTAACTGGGTTCTTTAGTAGCTTGCAGTCCCAGGGACAATGGATGTTGCATTGCTTGAGAACAGAGAATCGAGCACACAGAACATTGGAGAATGTACACCGGCTTTATCACGCTTCCCTTCGACACTTGGAAACAGAGCTGAAGCCGATGGCTCCATCACAACCCTGGCCTGAAATCAACAAGATTGTCGCACCGAACAAGCAACGAAGTGGACAGTTACCCCCCCCCCCCCCTCTCTCTCTCTCTCTCTCCCCTTCCTGCTCTTCTTCTTCGTCTTCACCCCATCGATCTCACCTTTGAAAGTACATCCTCGCTGCTGCCACCTCGAAAGATCACGAGAATTCAAAAGGTATGGTGTCGGGATCCCTCTATCTCAAAAGGTCTCTTTCGCTCTCCCTCATTCACCTCCTCTTCTCTCCCCCGTTCTTCTCTCTCTCTGCCCCTGCTTTGTCATCGCCGCTCTGTATCGCCTTCTCTCTCTCTCTCTCTTCGTCTTCACCCCATCGATCTCACCTTTGAGAGCACATCCTCGATGTTGCCACCTTGAAGGATCACGAGAACTCAAAAGGTCAGATAGCATCGATATGCTATCATTAGATGAAGAACATCTATTACAAATATTAGAAGATATTTCTGATGTGGAAATCAGGAGAATATATCTACTTATGGCAATACAGAACCATAAAGAAAAGGATAAAAAATAAAAATCTAAAAATGATTTGCTTAACAAGGAAGATATACTCTCATACAACGGAATTATGAAGAAAGCCCAAGGAACCTCCTCTCAGGCACTTACCTTATCAGACCTAAAGCAAGAGGTCAATAATCTTAAAAATGAAGTTAGATCTCTAAAGACAAGAATTGAAATATTAGAATCTTATAAATATTCAATATACCAAGGAGGATCCAATAGATCCTCAGAAATAGGAAATGTAGAACCTGCTGAATTTGTAGGAGATGATGAAGAATTTGTATATTCAATCAAAGAAGTCAAGTGCCAAAAATGGTACTCAAAAGTTACAATTAAAATTAAAAATTTTAGTTCCTCAGTAATAGCCCTAATTGGTTTAGGTGCTGATATAAATTGTATTAGAGAAGGAATTATGCCTTCTAAATATTTTGAGAAAACTTCCTAGCAAGGGAATCTCTAAGGACATCGAGACCGAGAGCGTTCGGTCCCTCAATCCCATTAAGGCCTCAATTATAAAGGAATTTCACTATTGATAGACATCTGTCCACTTTAAAAAGGTTTGTCCTTCAACATCAAGATTTGCCGCTTCCAAAGTCGAAGATAAAGAAGCATCTTCCCACAGTAAAGAGATAAAGATGCATCTCCAGTTCATCACCCTGTCTAAAAAGACAAGCATCTCAATTAAAGATGCCCTCAAGATAAGATCGAATCTGAAAGAAAATTCTCGAAACAGCTCTCCTGCCTATAAATAAGGATCGTCTTCCCATCCCATGGAGATGGCTGAGAATTACGTTCTAAGGGTGTTTTCCTTCTGAGTAGTCTTCTTGTGTTCTTCTGAGTGTTTTGTGAGCATTTTCTTGTATGAGTGTATTTCATCTGAGTGAGTTCTTGTGAGGTTTGATGAGTGTAATTGTTAAGTTGTGCTTCTAGTGTGCTTTTAGAGTGCTTTTTTCCTTGTAAGTTGAATGTTTCTGTAAACTTCTTTTTTTTTTTTTGTAATCCTAGTATGTTCTTTCTTTAATAAGAAATCAAATTATACCATTTTGTTGTTTTCATGCATAGCATATTGCCTCCCTCATTCTGAATCTCTGTTATTATACTACTCTATTTATAACCCTTCAATTATCGGACCCCTCAATCATTTTCAATTATTGCCCAATTATTATTGCTCACTCCCCACTCCATTTAGTATCAGAGCCATTGACCCATTGATCCAAGCCCCTCTTAAGCTTTAATTCTTTCAAACTGGAACCCATGGTCCATATTTCTTCCATAACCTTTTATGCCCTAAGACAATAAGCCTAGATCTTGAACCTACAAACTTTAGAGATATCTTTTGATGAGATACTACCTAGAACCTTTGGCTAGAGCCCAAAGACTGCAACTTCTTTGGAGAGATCACTTGACTAGAACCTAAGTCAAAGTCGTGTTAGGTTGTGAAGACTTATTGAAAGGCCGTTGAAGTTGACTAACTGTTGAAGGTGAAGTGGCAAGATAAGATGAGGAGATTGTTTAGGTCAACATCTAACTTAGAAGATAGTTATGAAGAATGTAGCACTAGTTTTTCCCTAACCAAGTCCTTGTCCATAAAAAAAATATGGAAGAGATAAACTTCAGCAATATGGAGAAATACCTTCAAAATTGGACCATACCCAAGAAAGCACCTTTGGAGATTTATAAAAAGGGAGTTTTTAGTCTAAAAATAGACTTCAATATTAAAATTGTAGAAAGAACGATAACACTAGCCAATGAATCAGAAGACTTTCACCTTATAGACCGAAAAACAATAGAATCCTATAAGAGAAAAGCCGAATGCCATTTCATCCATTTTGGCCTAGTACAGGTAGCCATCAAACCATTGACCCGATTAGGACATCAAACAATTGCTTTGGCATATCTAAGAGATTCTAGATAAAACGATGGACAGCTCCAAGGGAACTTGGTCACTACCATTGCAATATGTATCGCTATCGCCTTCTCTCTCTCTCTCTCTCCCTCCCTCCCTTCCTGCTCTTCTTCGTCTTCACCCCATCGGTCTCACCTTTGAGAGCACATCCACGATGTTGCCACCTCGAAAGATCATGAGAACTCAAAAGTTCTAATGCTGGGATCCTTCTCTCTCTCTCATTCCCTCTCTTCTCTCCCCCATTCTTCTCTCTCACATTTTCTCTTTCTATGCCCTTGCTTTGTCACGTTGCAGCGACAAATCTGTATCGCCTTCCCCCCCTCTCTCTCTCCCCCTCCGCCCTCCTTCGCTCTCCTCTCTCTCTACCCCTGCTTTGTCACTGCCACTACCACTACAACAAGTTGCAGTGATAGATCTGCATTGCCTTCTCTCTCTCTCTCTTTCTCTCTCTCTAACACTTCCTATCAAATTGACTACAGCAGCCAAACCAACTTCACCAAAAGGTTCAACAAGACATGGTTCTCTGACCATTTCTTCACCGATGGCTCAACTTCTTCCATTGCCGAAACTCATCTCTTCCAGTAGCAACAAGAGCAGACTCATGCCACTCAAGATCTTAGGTTCAAACTCATCTGTGTGAGAAGAACCGACCTTCGGCCAGCTCAATATTGGACGTTTAAAACAGGGGAGGACGGTAAGAGAGAAGACTCGAAATAGGGAAGAAGAGGTCGGGGAAGGGGGAGTTTTTCTCTTAACTTAAGGGCAAAAAGGGCATTTCATCCTTTTCCGTTATGATTTAACAACAATAGCAATTGTCAGAAACAGTAGGAGTGGTTTAAGACAATAGTTAAACAGTAAGGGTAAAGTTTGTTAATTAACTAAAAAATAAGGGTAATTTAAGAAATTTGCCCTAAAATATATGCGTTAATGTGTGTTTTATACACATACATTCATAAAACTAGATTTAGTGTGATGCATTTTTTTTTATTCATCAAAGTTTTTGGGTTCTCTTATTATATCCCTGCATGTCCTACTTTTTATACCATTTTCCATGTATATCTTGATATGCTTATTAAAATTGCTTTTTTGATACTCTTGGCATTTCTAATACTCTGAATTTGGATGCACATGGATATGGTGGAAGGATTTGGATATGATTGATTACATAAGGGTAATTCTCACAAATCTCACAAATACATTAATAATACTAAATTTAAGATTGAAATAACTATTAATAAGATATAATAAATACACTAGAAGATATACTTTTGTGGTTTATATAAAGAATATGTTACATCAATCTAGTGGGACATATAGATATCATACCATTTTACTGATCACACATCAAGAGTCCGAGGTACATATTATATATAATATGTTATTAAAACCATTTATATGTTATTATTTATTTAAGTTAAATTATTAATTAATAATTATAAAAATATATAATTAATCTAAAAATGTATTAGGTTCATGAAAATGTAGAAGGTCCAAAGCAAA